AGCTAGGAGGGCTTAAGCCCCCACTTTTTGCAAAAAATGCGACATATTAAGCAATGGACCACCAGTAAAGCATCTTTTTATTCGGTTTTGGCTTCCCCCACTTGCTCTAGGCCCCCCAATTTTCTCAACTTTCCGCGGTGCCTGTAATATCATGTATTATTTCAAAATGAAATGAAAGAACAGCTTTGTCGGACAAGGTCACACCCTCTATTGTTTGTTCATTTATTCTTTGTATTGTCTAAAAAAATTATCCTTTTAGGAGCCAAGCTTCTATCGTGCAGTTTGTTAGAGTATAATTAAAAGCTGAATTTCAATAGATTCTAATAATATGGAAAGAAAGTAGCTATGTGTAATAACTATGTCATTAAATCGGCGTCTGTATTCTTTACATGGAGTAATAAAAACAAGAAAATGGGGCAAGTAGGAATAATAATGCATAGAAATCACATTGCTGTACGCTTTTTTGTAAAGAAACATATCTTACCAAAAGTGCAATAAAAACCATTTACAAAACAATTAATTTTCATTAATGGAAAAAGACTTGCAATTTTTCGCAAGCTAATATAAAGGACTAATAAGAGAACGGAAATAGCAGTAGTCAATATCACGATGCTTCGTCATATGCCAAGCAACGTAAGTTTGAGCCGCAGCACAAATAGTGGCATCAGAAGCAAGTGGCCTATGTTTTTACATACAGAGAAAAGTGAGTATGCTATTGATTTTGCCTTTGACAACGCTACGAATCGGCCTAAATTTCTGACGTCGCCCTTATTGGTTATGGTTTAGTGTTCATCGGAACATCGATCGATGATTGACTAAAATGTCCATTAAACGACAAACGTGCTATCTTCAACCAGTGCGATCTTATTTTACGTGCAGAGGACACGGAGCCAGAGAGATGCAAACTGTTTGTGCAGTGTGTAACGTGATTTCTACTGACTGATTATAATTTACAAGAGTTCGTATTGCTATAGAAAACTGGCAAACTTAATTAAGAGTTATACAGAGGAAAGGATATGCTCGATGGTTAACAATGGTGTGATGGATTAGGTTAAAATGACGTGTAATTAACATAGAGAATGATGAATATAGAATTACGTAGGTATGCAGAAGAAGCAATGATGGATTGTATAAAATGGCCTAAATTGAATCACTACAATAGCCCCCTCCCTAGAATGCAAGCGAGTGTGAAGCATTCGATACGTAGGGAGAAAAGCGAGAAAAAAAAATGCAATGACGAGAACGAATTAAGTTTTAGAGTTCGAAATTAAATGTTCATTTTTGGTGTGCATGTTACTTGCCAGCTCTTGTGGTGTGAATTGACATCTTGCAGAATTTGTGCGGAGAGTGGTGCTTGCTGTGCCGAGGTTTTTGGCGTAGGATGACCAGGAACCCTGAAATGTGCATCTCTGGTTTTATGTGTAGGATGACCAGGAACCTGCGATGGATTGGAGGCGTATGTGTGAGCAAAGAACGAAATGCCTTGTTGCTGCCGTAGATGGGTGAGGCGTGTGAGACAATGTCCGATGCTGTTTGCTGCCTTGATTCGAATGGTGTAGCGTAGCACTACGGTGAGTCGAGCGCTGCTGTGTTCGCTTGTTGCGAGTTGGCACTAAGGTGATTCGAGTGCTGCTTGATGATGGTGCATGTGCATTGTGGTGCGTTGAAAACAGCGTCGTAGAATGTGCGTGTCGAAGCAACCGCGGTCACGTCGTGGTCACCAATTTAGTGTTCATCGGAACATCGATCGATGATTGACTAAAATGTCCATTAAACGACAAACGTGCTATCTTCAACCAGTGCGATCTTATTTTACGTGCAGAGGACACGGAGCCAGAGAGATGCAAACTGTTTGTGCAGTGTGTAACGTGATTTCTACTGACTGATTATAATTTACAAGAGTTCGTATTGCTATAGAAAACTGGCAAACTTAATTAAGAGTTATACAGAGGAAAGGATATGCTCGATGGTTAACAATGGTGTGATGGATTAGGTTAAAATGACGTGTAATTAACATAGAGAATGATGAATATAGAATTACGTAGGTATGCAGAAGAAGCAATGATGGATTGTATAAAATGGCCTAAATTGAATCACTACAATGGCGTCTGTATGGAAAAATTAGCACTCGAACACAAAATTTGAAATAAAACAAGAAATTTCACTTGCATAGCAAGATCCTAAAAAATAGTATATTGTACATTCTGGAGTTTGTATCAATAAGCGCTCTAGCAAGGATCAAAAGGATTTTTCATCGCCTGGATAAAGTATAGGACTTTTGCCAAAAAATTGCAGTTGTTCTATTCTAGAGTAGTTTTGGTTTTGTTTGAAAGGAATGGGAAAGACAACTTTAACAGAGACAGGCATTATGGGGGTACTTAAACACAAATTTAGGAAAAACTTCAATACATCTCCCTCTGCAGCTAAAAAATCTTGGAATCTTGGAGAAGAGTGTTCTTGGAGTTGTTGTGTTTGCAGCAAAGAACTGACCTATAAAAGACTCTACGAAAAAAGATCAGGCAGAGATTTTATTCACAATAAACAGTATAAGACACATACTTTGATTTTTTCAGGTCATTCAATCTCCAATCCAAAACTTTTTTCTTCAGTCGAGTAATCATTTTATAAAGGTTTGTTTATTTCATGAAAATAGCGTAAGCAGGTGCTTTCCCGCTCTTTTGGTCGCAGCCTAGCCCCAGCCTCCTAGATGTTTAGATATCTATCCCAATTTCCTAATAGTTTGAAATGGTGTTATAAACCCTTTTTCCCGCTGGCTAACCAAGGTAAGGCTTCTCTGCAAAAAAAACACTCCTTTTTTTATAAAAAAACAAAGGTCGATGTTGAGTACTCCGCGTCTCTATGCTTAATTATGATGTCATGAATGATGTTATGAAATGTTCGTGATATTTTTTATCAAGCGATTCGCTTCCGTTCTGATGCTGTATTTAGATGTGGGAAGAATATTTTTATATTTCCCTTGTGTCTCAAGTTCTAGGCCAATCATGTTCTTGGATCGTACAAAATTTCGTTGTTCTCAGTTCTATCACGATTTAATAGTTTCTTAATTTGTTTGCTTCGAGTACTGAAGTTTCTTATTTTTTTCTGACTGTCCAGTATTCGTTTCTTACAACCAGTTTCTTATAAAAAAATGAGTGTACCTCAAAAACGAAAGCTTTTTCTGTGCTCATTAGCGGCCTAACAGATGTCAGTTTCCAGGAACGTCTTTGGCCTACAAAGCTCAACAATTTAACAACGTCAGGCATTCAATCAGTTTTCTTTGCTGGCTTTTTCTTTCACGCTTTCGTTCGTTCGTTCGTTCGTTCGTTCGTTCGTTCGTTCGTTCGTTCGTTCGTTCGTTCGTTCGTTCGTTCGTTCGTTCGTTCGTTCATTCGTTCGTTCACTGGTTCTTTCGCTAAATTTTTTTCCCATCGATGATTCAACATTTGGCGCTGTTTTTATACCAAAAGGTCGCCGATTCACACATGTTCTTTTGTTAAATCGTTCGTTCCTTCATCCGTTTGTTCTCATGCGCATGTTTCTTCCTGCGTTCGCTCGCTTGTTCTTTCGTTCGTATATTTGTCCTACAACTGATTATCGGAATAAGCAGCACAATGTGCATAATTTTGCAGCGTATACTAATGATAAAACCGCATCATTATGAACACTAATACATAAAATACATTTATCTAATATTGGTTTGTTTGATAATCAAGTTTGTTTGTGTTAGGCAATACCCAAGAAAGTCTTTTTACAACAACTTCTTTTCGGACTGAATTTACGTTTGCAGACCCTAAAAGCTGCTAGAAAATGGAACCTAGCTAAATAAATCCAAAAAAATCTAAAAAAAATTTTTGTGTAAAGAAAACAAAATTTCTCTGATTGACAGATGAAGCGAAAATAAAACAGAGTAGAACTTACCGATAACGAAGGTAACCATTATCTAACGCCGGGAACTGGTGACTGCTGAGTGTAATTTTGTACACTGTTCAGAGGCTTGGGTAGGGGTGAATTTCCAAACTTTAAAAATGGCTTTTCGTCGTATATTTTATATGTTAAAATCGTCAGAATTTCGCGGTATGAGGCTGTTCTATCCAGTGTGGAAAATCCATTCTTTTGTGTGGTACTTCCGTTTACACTGAAACATTTACTTTGCGCCAGGGCCGTAAATCTGTCATGTCAATTGGGTGAGGGGGGTGGGGGGGGGGGGGGGTCGATGGTGTCAGCAGAGTGGATGAATTAAAAGTATGCAGTGGGTCATGGCACCACCAAGAAATTTATTGTATGTGTTATGGAAACAGTTTGAGGGGAGAACGACTTAGAAAGCAAAAATCAAGATTATTGGATTTACTAAGAATTTTTCCGCTCTATTGAAGGTACTTACAGTTATTCCCTAGGACGTGACTTTCATATAATTTGATGGATAGCATTTTCAGAGACGGCGACACGAAATTGAACCCGGGGTGTTAAGGGTGAAGTTTAATGACGTAGGAGGACCCACTATGGTTGGGTCTGACGCGAATGAAAAGTTATGAAATAATACCTTCTAGAAAGGCTAAAAAAGCATCTCCTAGACCAAGTTTAACAAAATTCTATACCGCTCAGGATAGACAATTCCAGGTTTCTCAGAAGAATAAATATTCTTGTTTCTTGGGAGAGTTTGGGTAGGGGAAAAGTTATGCTAAACCTCTAGTGACGGATGCTGGGGGAGGAAAGAAAGGGGGATCTTTGACTCAGAAAACAAATTTTCAGTAGTTGCTTTTCCGCAATGTTGACCACATGTATAAGATATTTGAGGCGGTTTGCCTTTTGGGCACAGTCATCAAAACTAGACAACTCGCACTTGACACCATGACATAGTGGCTGAGGTTTGTTGCAATAACACAAGAAAACTTAGCTTAGTTCTAGCCTAGCTACCATAGATTCCTTTCTTTAAAAAAAATAACGATAATTTCTGAAAAAAAATCATTTGCTCCAGATTTTTTTTGGGGGGGGGGTCCAGTCCCCCGCTCCTCCCGGGATTTACGGCGCTGCTTTGCACTAATAAAATGAATGCAATTTTTAAGACTTTGGGGGGTTTTAAGACAATTTTTAAGACATCTTTTTATATAAACGCCTGAAAAAAGAAAAGTATTTTTAACTGACGTTTTTCAATCATGTCAAAGATGTGAATTCAGCTGAACTTTAGAGCTGGCACGAGAGCCTGTGTGGAGAAGTGAGATAAGATGCATTTTCTATAAGCCCTTTATAGATTTTCTGAAATTCGGGTAGAGGACCGAGCAATCAAACCAATGTAACTTGACAATGAAACTGTTGGTATTTTGGGCAAAACCAGTACCGTCGGAACGAAATTAATTTTGGGAGTGCTGCCCATTGTTTCCATTCTCGTTCAGTACACTGTTATAAAAGAAACATACTACAGTTTGATAATTATTGGGGAGCTCCAGCCCCCCGGCCCCCTCTTCCCCTCCCGGTTCTGACAGGCCTGAAAACGACAGATGCATTCCACAGAGCGCATTTGGTAGGGGCAAGGTGGAATTCTGCAGAACAGGAAGTTGCCAAGAACAACCAAGCAATGAGACACAATGATTGTGTGTTTTTTGGAGCCATTTACCTTGGGAATTCGGCAGGATGGTGGGAATTCGGCAGGATGGTGGGATTTTGATTTGTTTGGATAATGTCAAACTGGAGGTATTGATATAGGATCTGGCGTTCCAGCTAATGCATTGCATCAATTGCTAAGTGGGTTAGGAAATAGAGAACTTCCGTTTGCTTTATTAAAGCAACTTAACCATCGAGGAGTGCCTGATGCCACAATATTTCTCTTGAATCCGCTAAAATGTTGTCAAGCAACGTCTGAGTTTGGTTGTTCTTGCATAGTGAGTAAAGAGGTACGTTTTATTATATCTACTTGAAGTGTTTGGAGTGAATGCATTCAATGCCAAAATTAAATGCTTTTAAATCATGCAGTCATTTGCAAGTATATTCATACCATGAAGAAGATGCAGATAGCACACGACATCCTGGTACTTCATAAAAGTATGAACTCAGTCTACAACATTTTGTCTTAATTTTTGTTCAAAGGAGTGTTGTGAAAGCAGAGATCGAGAGATGAGGACTCCACAAATCTAAACTTGTCCACGAAGATTTGATGGAAGCAGATGGCGTTTTTTGTCAGTTAACAATAACATATTGTTGTCCCTAAAGGGTGTGTTCACTGCCTTATGGTAATTGGACAAGAGAACTCTTCAGTGTTTGGCTAATGCTATACTTAGCCTGGCAGGAGCCACGCCTTAAAGGCCAGAAGAAGATAGACTATCGGTTTTTACAATTATACCTTGGCCCATTTTCACACCCTGGTGCCCTTTCACCCCCTTTTACGCAGCTCTTTTTTTGCAGTCATGGCAAGTTGTTTATGCAAACTTGAGCCAACAACTTTTATGAAGACATGTATGAATCCAAACTCATGCTTTTGGTTCAAGAGCAGGATGGTTCTAGATTGCGAAGTACTTCAAATTTCACTGGCAACTGGGAATTCACTCTCATTCGGTTCTTGAGAGATCATTGGGGGCAAAAAAATTTGGGGTTAACTTATAACCAGAAACTATGACATTGGTTTCACCAAAAATGTAAGCTAATAAAAAGAGAAGGAATTCTTTTCACCAAGTTGAAGTTGCCGACGGTGACGGTACGAAATTGTACCTGCACAGTGTAAATGGGGTCTCAAGGAAGCTGTATTTTTGGCCTGCATGGAATGACTAAGAGGGATAATGCTTTTCTATAAAATTGGTAATATAAACTGGAAGATTGCCGTGAAATACTTTAAAACGTGCATAACCAATTAGATATGTCACAACACACTCTTTATTTATAAGAACCAGTAGATTTAAGTTCAGGCTAACTGTTCTTAATTTTTTCGAAAATCTGAGGCTGGATTGTTCTTAATTTGTTCTTAAATTAAGAGGGTGTGACCAGTGCGATTGCCAGCTTTTTCGTTCTAAGGAGGTGTTCAGGCCTCATTTGCCAACAAAGTGAGTGAGACAGCCTTAATTTGCTGACAAATTTGAATATTCACCGAAAAAGCACCGTAATATTCACCGAAATAGTTTTATCAACAATCTGTTGCAGCTGAACTTCTTTTATTCACACATCATCGCTAAAAATCCTCGATTCTGAGAAAAAACGTTGTTCAAAATTTCATTTTGCAGAAGCTCAGCCTCAGCTTGTTCTTAATTTGTTTTTAACTTTTGACCAATTTTGAGGCTCGTGTTCTTATAAAATTGTTCTTTTGAAAAAAGAGTGTAATTTGGCTTAGATATGGCAAACCGTTCGAAGCCCTTTTCGGATCTTGTTTGGCCTTATTTACTGAACAATCTTAATATTTAACTTATTTTACACTTTAAAAGAAATTTTTTCAGGCTTTGAGGTCAAAAGTTAAAAATTGTAAAAATGTGCTTTGATGACGTCACACAAGACCTCTATTGTCTTTTAAGTTGTATCTATTGTTGAATCATAGTCGATTGTTGTTATCTGTTGACAATCGGTAAAACTCATGTGCGAAGGAAGAGTGTAAGATCTGCATGGCAAGAATTCTGACGGCATTCTGCCTGGTCAAGTTGACCTCCTATCTACACCTTTCCTTTAATTCTTCACAGTTTCACTAGCATAATCCACTAAATATCACAAGCAGAAGCTAATACAACGGACACTATCTCTCCAATTGAATGGGAACGCACCACTAAACTGCCTTACGTAAATCTGGTTATGAAGCCAAAAGCAAATATTTTATCTTGATTAAGGTTCAATTAAGATATTTGCTTTGAAAGTTTATCTAAGAAAAGTCAAAACACTGTTTTGAATTGAGTGAATATCATTCGATTGTAGATCGATGGTGTGAACACGCTCAGACAAGCCGCCCCTTCGAGTAAAGGTGAGTTTTTATGTTTGTTTTTCTAACAAACATCGCAATGTCAAGACGATCAACTCAAGGTCTTCAACACACCAACTTACAATATAAGGCTTGCGTTAGTCACCATTAAACACATGTTAAAATCTTATTTGCTGAACAAAAGTGGTACAGGCTACAGATAAAACACTAAAACTCAGTGCAAAGATAAAAATCTGGCAAAGAAATAAGAATTCAAGTTTTGCCTTACTAAACGCTTGTATTCAACACAGAAGACAACGCTAAAACGAAATTTTCTTACTTTTATTCAAAACCGATTTGGAAACAGCAACCTAAACATTTGCTTAGTCAGTTGAACCTTGGTTGAACACAACATTGTCAAACTGCAACAAAACGAAAAGCATACCGAATCAATTAAATTTTACATCAATGAAATGTGAATTCTACGCCCCCCCCCCCCCGATACACAGACTTCTTGGGGTAAAGGGGCAAGGGGCAATGGTCTCGTGCTCTAAGTTAAGCGGGGTTCCCAAGTTAGGCAAGGATTTTATGCTTTGCTCTTTCCTTCTGTTCCAAGTTTGATAGTCGTTGAGGGCAGAGAGAGGTAAAAGAGAAAATTAAAAACTCAGAACAGAACACTTGATATTTGGCTCTGCAAAATGAGATTTAGCTTTGAAAAAGAAACAGTGACAAAAAATTGAACTTTCTTCTTAAGAATGATTTAAGAATAACTTTAGGCTCAGAATCACATTTTTAAGAACATTGAGGCTCAACAAAAATTAAGGTTTTTTTAAAAATATGCCTAAACAACAAAGCTGTTGACCTATTTTCAGGCCCGCTCGCGTTGTTAGAAAATTGTTCCTAATAAAAAAGTGTATTCGGTAGGATAATGAAAGAATGCACTTTCTGGAAAATGGACGATCAGCCAAATGCTTTAAAGGGAATTTGAAAAAGGTCATAGTTCCATCCATACTCACTTTGGTTTAAAATGTGGAAAGAAAGTTTTCATAAAGTGAAATGTTCTGAAAAGGAACCCCACCTCCGTTTACACTTAATTTTGATCGATAATGGCACATCTAGAAAAAATACGAATTACTTTCAGTCCAAGCTGTGTTTTACGATTGTCATAATCCCATGCGATTATCATGCGTTTTTATTATCATTTTCCAATTATCATAATCTCAGAGATTCCAATTTTCAGAAATGGGCAGGTCAAATCAAGATTACGTTGATGCCGTTATAAATCTGATGTGTGCATACCATGGTGCATACATAGTCATGATGTGTAAAGATCGTTTGCACGTGTATAAATGGTATTCGTGAACAAAACCATCTTTTAGAAAGAATTTCCGCCAACTTTGAACAAAAATTAACAGCAAACAAAATCACAATACACAATAAGTGCTTGTCTGATTATCTTTGAATTTGATTATGATGTTTTGTTTTTCTTTTATCTTAGTGTTTAATGTAGTAAGGCACCATACTTCAAAGGTTATATCACTTTTCTGTGAGTTGAACTCGATGTGACCAACATGCAGAGGCGTAGCTAATGGAGGCGTAACTACTGGGGTGTGTGTGTGTGTGGGGGGGGGGGGTGTCACACATTCGGACATTGGAAAAGTTTTTTTCATTCCTTAAAATTCAACTTAAGAGCACACATGAATAACTGAAATAGAGAAAATGATTTATACATGATTAATTGAGATAAAATATGTTACAGTAAGTATTTCATGTTTTTCATTGAAATCCTCATTTATTGAATTTTCGGGAAATTTATGATAAAAGGGAAAATTCCCTTGTTCCCCAAAATCGTTCCCCTGTTATGAGCCAACATCCTCAAATAGGCTCTCACCTTAAACTATGCCTTCACATGCAAATTTATAAAATACGTTTTCTATTTTCAACATCAATTTGTAGAATATTTTGTTCCCAAAATTGAACTTGTAAAAAAAACGAAAAAGCTTTGAAAATGATAAAGAATTTTTAGTGTAACTTTGAGATAATTTTTGTAAAGCTCCCGCCTTTCGTCCTTGCCCATACCCTCGAATCCACCCACATCTAAAACATCTCAGCGGGCTAATTCGAGGATTTATTTGAGTATCGTAATCAGCCATTAACTCAATGCTACCCTGGGTACCAGAGTCCTCACAATTACGTCACAGAAATACTATTTTTAAATCTAGCCTCATGAGCCCTCCCCCCTCCCGCATCAGTTTATAATACAGAGAATCGTCGTCGGTTTCTTAGGGCTCTTGTGCCGCAAAATGTGCTTGTACCTAAAGTAGAGCGATTTCATTTCGATTTCATGCCACATCAATCAGTATCTGTGAGTAAACGGAAGGCCAATACATCAATTTGTTACATTAAAATTAAGATGAGTTACATTAAGGATGAATTTTCGATTTCCGAGCCATATCGATAAGGGGAAACTGGTTCCCAAGCCCCGCGTAAATTCCCATTATTGGTTCTGCAACTTCCAAATGCCACCCACTCAAATGTATTTTACAAGCTTTTTACAAGCCACGTGGATCTTGGTCGTACTTCTAAACCGAGTCCTTTCTAACGATATTAACAGTTTTTGGTGGACAGAAGACTGGCGGCCGTTATCAAGCATTAAGCAGAATGACTCCGCTTTAGAGCAAATCAGGCATAAACACTGATAAGGAGATAAACCTAACCACGCGCTGATGTCTGCTCCAAAATCATGGTGATAACATTTAAGACTGCGTTGCCAGTAGATCTACCTTGCATTCCTGAACATAACAATTTCCATAGCAGAATTCATTTTGGCTCTTTTTGTAGAAAATATGTCCTTATCAACAAAAACATAACAGCATTCCATATGACAACGATAACTAAAATGGTGTTGCATTTAATTTCGCTTTGGTTTCTTGTATCGTTAGGCCACAAAGAACTTTAAAAAATGTCGATAAAGTCATTGTTTGTGTGCAACCTCTTCTTCCAGGTGGTCCAAATTTTTAGCAGCAAAATTTGTCAAATGAATAAAAATTGATCGTGGCGACTGCATTTTTAAACCTGTTTCGAAACATGATGCTTGAGATATTATGTTCTTGAATCCACAGCTGGTGACGTCATATAGGGCGACTCGCATTCTACTGTAACGAACAAAGCCAAGTTTGAAACGTAAAATAAAAGCGACCGCTACTGGAAAGCAGTCACGTATTATTTCAACGTCCACGGCAGTAAACTTAGTCAAGATCCTTTGACTTTCTCATCCATCAATCTCATTAACTAACATTAGCAAATGGGCAATCTTTTTTAATGTAACTTCCACGAAAAACAGTTAATCACAGTAAATAGCAGTGGACCTAAAACAGAGCCTTGAAGGAACTCTAATATAATAATAATAATAATATATCTCGCCAAATCTCCGTTTCGGAGCAGTTACTATAGCACAAAAACAGAATTGCCAGGAAAGACATCATGTGCAGTATAGTACCACAGGCTAATTTTCACTTTGGTTTGAAAAAGTTCAACCAATCTCGCGATTTCTATCAGGCCTTTTGCGTTGCTTTTTAGAATTTGCTCCATTCCTGGAAGGTGTCTTTTGAATTTTTCGCATTGCCATAAATATTCTAAATTTTCTTCATGTAATCCACAGCTTCTGCAACTTATATTATCATATTTTCCTTTGAAATATGATACTCTGCTATCGAAGGCCTAAGCAAAAATTGACACTATATCTTGGCATTTAGGAGGTCATTCATTGATGTGAATCGTGAAATACGACATTATCACACAGTAAATCATGAAATATGACATATGAATATGATGTCATTGAAGCTTTGTAAGGCTAACTGAGTCTGCCATGCTACGTAATGTCACACGATGGCACTGTCATGGACTTTCTGTACGTCATTTCGAAAATTTTCTTGCAATCCATTTTTTTTCTTTTAGAGACACTTTGCAAAACTCTATCTGGTGTTGTACAGTGCACTCAAAAGCCATGGCTTTCAACCTCTTCGTGAATAAGACAAATTCCACACTTTTCTACTGTGAACTGAATCCTGAAGATCCTGACTGCTGGGCTGATTACGAGCATATTCCTTTCAAGCTAACAAATGGCAAAATTATCTCCGCCATCGCAATGTCTCTGCTGATAATTGTGGCTTTGGGAGGAAACATTCTAGTATGCACAGCCTTTTTTGTTTATCGACGATTACGTAAGACAACGAACTTCTTCATAATCTCCCTGGCAATTAGTGATATCCTTGTTGCTACCGTAGCCATGCCGATGTGGTTATCATACGAAGTTACAGCCTGGCAGAACTTACCTGCTTGGATAGACTTTACGACGTTGCTGCAATTCTGGAATTGGTTCGACATCCTCGCTGGGGTCTCGTCCATTACAAACTTGACAGCCATAAGCATTGACCGTTGCTTCAGTATTATGCAACCACTTTTACATCGCACTCGCATGACCAGCTCCATTGCAATAGTGATGGTTATAGCTGCATGGCTATACAGCATCATTGTTGCCTCCCTGAGCCTTGCAAGCCTCCAGAATTACACTGCGATTGTTTCTGCGGTTGGATTTTTCATTCCATTGCTGGTGATCCTCATTGCCTACTTTCTAATATACATCCGCGTTAAGACTGGTGGCTATGGTGCGCATCAAGAGAAAGACTGGAATCTAGAGAGAACACTGATAATCGTCATCAGTTTCTTCGTCGTCTGCTGGTTGCCGTTCTTTGCCTTCAGTTTGTTCTATCACTATTGCTTTTCCTGCCAGTTCAAACAAGAAACACTTGCCTACCTGATCAGCTTCACAAAATGGATGCATTACTTGAATTCGTGCTGCAACCCATTCATTTATGGCCTATTCAACATGAACTTCAAGAATGCATTTCGCGCCCTGTTCCGCACTTGCTTTTCTTCCTCCCCAGCAGAGAGCGATTACACGAGCCCAGCTACAGATGGCAACGAAACATCACTGAAGCGCCAGATCAAAAACTTGAGAAGGAAACTGCGACCGAAGAAACATGATAAAGACAGTTTTCTGCTGAATGATCCAGAAACTGCATCTGTATGTGTTACAACAGTGCCGGCAAGTTCAAATCGCAACAGCAGCGCCTCTCAAGCAGCATCCTCTGACAACAACATCGCACCATATGACGTAGAGTCACTACTACCTGACGGAGGTGATTCTGTTCATTCGCAGAAGGGCCATCTAAAGGACAGCAAGTATCCACGAGCAAGCACAAACAACAATGCTCAACAAAAGGAATTCTCCTTTGCTATTCAAGATCCCCGGTTTTCTCTTGCGGGGTCCTCCGCATCTGAAAATGACAACGCCGATATTGCCGCGTTTCTGGAACAGCACAGTTCCACAAGCTCCGTTGCTGATGCACAAAAAATGAGCTTGCTTGACTCACAAGAATCTTGTGTATAGGTGTTCCTGATAAATAAGATCTCGTTGACTTGGTTGAGCAAGGACAATATTAAAACAGACTTGCGTAACATTATGAATTTAGTCGAGTCGTTCTATATGGTAAAATTTTGATTGAACCATTGGTTTGATTGCGGACAAACTTTTAGTGGTTCTGCAAGACTGGTGGTTGCTCTCTGAAATCATTGGTTTAAAATGATTCAATGGAGAGAAAGAACTCTTTTTTGTACAAAATGCACGCGATGAATTCTTTCGTACGTTTTTTATTTAGACTGCAGAAACACATATGCACGACACATTGCTGCTGCTATTGTATAATTGTATACATATTTTTGCGAATTTTGATTTTTCTTTCAAAGAAGGAACAATTATCAGCTATCCAAGGTAGATTCCTAGATCTATATACTTCAACTTTATCGCAGAACAAAGTTTCATTCCCGAAGTCTGGCAGTTTTCACTTTGCTCATACAGTTCATATTGAAGCTAATGTTAATTCAGAGAAGTGGAATGTAAATCCATGCCAAGTAAAGGTCTGTTGTATTAATGTAGTTTTGTATCTAAGCATCGATGCTTAAAGTTCAAAGGCTGTATGGGGCCAGCCAAAACAATTCTAACTGTTCTCTAAAAGACTTAAAATAAGTTCATTGCTAAAGTACACTTCCATTAGATGCAATCCAATCCAGACGGACTTTGGAAAAATTTGAACCGTTCTGGGGAAATCGACTTCGGTCTAGAATTTTGCAGTTTATGTCGAACTTGTATATAAAGTAATATTCTACCAACAGAATGTCATTTAAACATTTTAACAATAATTTTTTGTAATTTCTATGCTTGTTATAATGCAGTCTTCCTATTACATAAATCAGTGTTTTCAACATTTTTCATCCATGGCACACTTTCACATAGAAGAAATCACATGGAACACCACCAACAGAAAATGTTAAAAAGTGAATTTTATTATCCTTGGTGTTTTATTATCCTCAAGCTAATTTTATCTATTTTTATTGTTATTGATATCTTCTCTGAATCAGACTGTTTAGAGAAAACATTGCAAATAAACATGTATTTTCTAAAAGGCGCATTTCACGGCATCCTAAAGGCCGTGGCCTCAAAACAATTTTAGTCATGCTCTTTACAGCCCTCCCCCCTTTTAGACTGGTGCGCGGTGCCTGTCTGTTTCGATGAACACAAGGTTGATATCTTGGCAGGAATTGAAAAAAGATGCGATTTTTCCAATTTTTAGACCAATTAGGTAAAAGTGGAAAATTTTCATGGCACCCAAGAGAGTATCTCATGGCACACTAGTGCTCCGCAGCACAGTGGTCGAAAAGCACTGACATAAAAAAATGAAATTGTCTAGCCCCTTGACTTTAATAAAGAGCTTTAGGTTTTTTATTGATTTATGTTAACGATATGTCACTTTTATTCAATGAATTGCATCATAATTATTATTTGCTGCTGTCATTTTATCTTTGTAAATAAAATATAATTTTCAGATATAACTTTCTTTAATGAATGTCTCGTGTTTTAGATGGAGCGTAGCATGCATGCAAAGAACAGGTCATGCAGTTTGTAAAAAACAGTATAGCAGTTTATGATATCCACAAACCGTACATTTTTGTTTTCCAGTCCTATTTGTTAAACAATCACACTGCTGGCTCTGGTCAAAGGCAGGGTACCGTGGAAGGAGGCTCGAGAGGTTGACCCTTCCTTGTTCAAATTAAGATATATCTTGGTGAGGGGGGGGGGAGGTGGGAGAAAGCCAATAAAATAACCTGTATTATGCCAATAGTTTTTCATGAACGAGTAATGTCGATTAGCCTATTAGGGTGAACAGTTTTAATGTTTTTTAAGAGTGTGTAGGGCGTGGTTTTGGATGCGATCTTGGGTGTGGCTTTTATATGCTTCCTACAGAGCAGCCCCACTTCCTAACTGCACAGGTCGGCACCCATGGTCAAAGGGACATCCAGAAATAGAACCATAGCAAAAACGGGACACACGTTCTTAGCTCTATTATAAAAACATTTGAATGAGATTTCAAATTTACAGCTTAAGCTTCTTTTAAAGAAGCTGTGCACAACGAACCACAATAAGAATAAATCAAAACTGAAACATAACGCTATATTTACAAAATAGAACAAGACGTTATTAGTTACTTGTGTATTGTGTTCGATACAATATAAAACGGGGTAACCAAAATAATTGACGGGCGATTCCAACGGCAAGTCAATCCAACGCTACAAGAGTTCGTATATAAGAAAGACATATATTTTTAGAACGTGAAATCTTTCAATGTTAATACGGAACTCTATGTGTTGATTTATGAAAATAGTATATCATATAAATGCAACCAGAGTCAGTCTTTCAAAATAACGTCACACATTATTTAGAACATAAAATCTTCGCAAGTACCTCCAGAATAAGAATATCGTTGGTAATACGATATTCCAGCCTTTGTCGCTATCTATTGTCAGATCCCCTACGAAACATCGCGTTTGTTGAATGGGCGAAAATAAAACTCAATGGAAACTTTACTTTAAAATTATGAACAGCAAGAGTAGATTTGACGATTTCAATATTTACATCACAAAATAAACGGCTCATATTTGTGGTCTTTAACTTCAGTAGTTGAGCTTTATGGCACTATTTGTCACGGTGTGTAAATAACAGCGTGACGAAGAAAGCAATATATGAATTATTCGCCCTGTTACTTCTATACGAATTATTGCTCAACTGATATCAAAACTTTTAACGGCAAACTATTAACTGTAACATCTAAACTAAATTATTTGTTTAAAAACAAACCCTTTGTGGTTGCAAAAAACAGTAAAACAGGGGACGCACCAAGGGGGTGGGGGAGGGGGGTTGGGTAATAGTTACCACACTTTTTAGCAGGATGCATTGGGAGTAACAGATAGAAAAACTTTCTCTACTCTTTTGCCCCCCCCCCCCTCACTGCAAAGTTCAAGGTGCAGCCCCTGTAACAACAAAGTACCACAAAAGATTCATATATATGTATTGAAAAATGCATAAATGTAAACTTTCTAGACAGTTTAAAACTGCGAATCATAGCTACTCTTTGGGATACCGCAAGGGATCGAATAATACACCCCCACCCCCCACCTCTCTCTCTCTCTCTCTCTCTCTCTCTCTCTCTCTCTCTCTCTCTCTCTCTCTCTCTCTCTCTCTCTCTCTCTCGCATAAGCCCAAGTGGCTGAGATACAGCAATAGGTACATCCCAAAGTATCTGCATTTTTAATAAACTGACTAGGATCAAATAGATCAACAGCATTTGCCCTGGTAATATTTTTGGCTGTTGCTAAAAAAGCCCTCACCTTCAAATGAAGCCTCCCCGAAAAGACCTATATCAAAATATTTCTGCGAAATAAGCCCTAGGGGGTTCCTCATTGTACTCATGATATGTTAAATTGCGCTTGTTCATGTATGTCTATTTATCTAACATTTTCTACATATGCATATTTGTCGAAGTCTAAAACTTTTTAACTCTGTCATCAGAATCTCAAATAGTTTTGAAACAAAGTATCATAAATCTGGCCTTAGTCACAACATTTTTAAAGAAATGGTTTTTCTGGAAACGTATACACTATTCATAATTAGATCATATTGCATGGGTTTAAATCCTAAAAATGTTCGCATGCGTTCTAAAAGCTGGGAAGCACAGCAAGAGTTAGAATTAAGCTAAGTGCCTTGCCGGATGGCCGACGCTCCATTAGATTCACATGCATCGTTCAGTAATCGGGACAACAAGGCCAAATACATTTTTGTTGGACTTTCGAGCTTTGTATGACCAACATAGCCAATGAGTCGGTCTTCCAGTAAGGATAACTGTTCATTTATAGTTAGCAGAGTTTCTCGATCTGGCAGTGGTAGCTGGTGCCCTGCGTGGTCCATTTCATGCGGGTTTAGTATTGAAAGCTTTGACATTGAATCATGTGCACCACAATTAAGTGCAAGATAAGATCGTACTAGCAGATACAAGAGAAAAACAAACTCTTCGATTTCTTCTTGCGAGCAGTAACTTTCAGTTTGTTCACATTTACGCGGAGGAACTTTGTAGAAGAAACAGAAAACAATTGACTCAAGTGATAGGCGTTTGATTTCGTTTTCAGCTGACCTTTCACTATCTTCACAAATCGTAGAAAGTATCAATTCCACGGCCTTTCTTTGTACCATTGCGTTCTCTATAGATTGCAATAGCTCTTTCCGCAGCTTTATGAGTCGGATTTCGAAGAAGCAGTTTAAGTACATTTCTGCAATTGGCTGAGAAAAGTCTTCAGGATTCCTATTGGACAGAAATATAAGACTGACCAATCGCTGCAAGGCTTTTGTGACATACAGAGAAGAGAAGAGTCTTGTTCTACTTTCAACACTGACTCCGTCCATTTCTTCAATGATACTGAACATGGCAGTAAACCACTGGCTCACGGTTCGCAAGCGAGCACTTCCGTACACATTGGGAGACACGAGTTTCCAAACGATAGTATTTCTAATATTCTTAGCAAACCTTTTGAAGTCTTGCTCCAGCAAATTAAGGATATGGAGAAACATTTGAGAACAATTAGCATATAGAGGCTTGTTTGAAAGGTTGCCAGACCGAAGGCTGTCAGTGAAGATTTTAGCTTCGCTAACAAGCCTATCAAACAAATCACACATAAAATCCCAAGTTAAAGGGAAGTTTCGATTACTCAGTATTCTGATCGAAAAAAGGTGGTTCAGGATAGTGATGGCTTTCCGCGATATCCTCTCATTCTTACTGACGGCAATATTCGATAAAATATGCTGGATAACTTGCTGTGGCGGAGCAACAGTACTTGAGGAGAAGGACAGCACAGTGTCTAAGTAAGCTTTGTCGACTATCGAATCGTCAGCAAGGCTTTCAAGAAAATCCAGTTGATTATTGCTGAAGAATTTCGGCTGCAAGGAGCTGCTTCTCGGCATATTCAAGCTAACTTTCAAAGGGGCACTCACGCCAATCCTTACAGAGTAATCCTCTTCGAATGTTTTGCTTCTTTGGGCATAAAAAGCCCTGGCTATGGGGGAATCGCTGAGGTCCAGTTTCGGTGAAACAGCTGAAGGAAGGAAAGGGGGACTTAACTGGGTTGCTGACAGATATGATCAGTTACGTGAAGAAAGAAAAAAGCAGCTTGAATAAGAAATAGTTACAGAAAATAGCATTTTCATTTTGAAAAAATCACATTACAAGAAATACCTGACTTAAACCAGTTAGCAACGTACTGTTTGCAAATTTAGACAAAATGTCGTGGAACTTTGTAAATTTGTGGGGAAGAATGTGACAATTTCTGGTACTTTAGATGGTTAACAAATCGAATAATGTATAAAACCCTGAGCTAAAGAAAACGGACACAACGCCTGGTCAAAAGGTTGAGAAGGATCAACAAAACTCACAGACTAAAAGCCAGAATCTTTCTTTGATCCGAGTTAAAAAAACAACTAGTGCAAACAACCAGACATTTCCCCTAGCGACTGTCCTCAATCATCACAGCTTTTCCACTGTTTGCTTGAAACAGTTATAAAAATGTTGGTTTGATTATCATTTAAAGACTGGCTATTACTTGCTTAGGATTAAGAAATTAAGTATTATATGTTTGAGCTCATCTGTTTTCTTCAAAAACTGGTTTTTCATTATCAATTTCCTCCACAATTGTGATAAAACTTTCGTAACCGCTACTTGAAAGCAAGGCATAATAGGTTCAGCTATGATCCTGGCGTTACTTAGCTATGCACAGAAGTCAAGCTAGCCTAGGCAAGGTAGGTTCTTTAAAGGGACCATCCTTTCCGAAAGGTAATAAGCAATTGGTGCCTGCTAGCTATACCCTATGCAGCATCTAATACCGTTTTGCAGTATCTTGCATGCATTTTTACATGAGAATATTTTCTAAAATTACTAAAAGTGCACTCACCACAAAACCTTTTTGCGCTTACATCAGAATGATTCTCTGTTGCTGGTCTTTTTGGGAATGGCGAAGGACACGACTGGATCTAGAAAAAGCAAATGTGAAACTTAGTCTAAAAGAGGTGAGCAAATATAGATACCTAGGAGATATAAAAAAAGCAGAGGAACAGTAGAGGAATGCATTAATAGCAGGAAAAATTCAGCAAAGGCAATCATTAATGAAATAACATTCTTAATCAGCCAACCAGCATTAAAAAAACAAAGCATGGATATAAGCATAAAACTGATTGAAAGTGCACTTATCCCTAAAATCTTATATGGGTGTGAAACATGGACTAATATGAACAAAAAAATTTTAAAAATCCTTGGAAATGTACAAAAACCCTAACCACCTCAATACCAAAATCAACACCCTATCAAGGCTTTCTATATGAATGTGGACTTATGCCAATGGTTTATTGAATAAAACTTAGAAGACTTTTGTACCTACATAAACTAATAAACATGAAAGAAACACATTTAACAAAACAAGTATACCAAGAACAAAAGCCCATTAACTTAAGAAATTGTTGGTATGATGAAAAAATGAATGACTTGATTGAAGTAAATATACAATACTCAGAAAAACAAATTTAAGATCTATCAAGGAAAAAATTGGAAAAAAATAATAAAAAGCAAAATCATAAAGAGGATAAAGCAGCAAGTTAAGAATACATTAGAACAAAGATGAGGTTCATCAAAAAAGGCAATTATGGAATAAAAAAATATATAAAACGTAAAAAGGGACCAAAGTTACTAAAATTGAAACTAAACATAACCGATTTAAAAGCTAATTACAAAGGAAAATATGATAATATAAGTTGCAGAAGGTGTGGATTACATGAAGAAAAACTTAGAACATTTATGGCAATGTGAAAAATTTAAAGGCACCTTCCAAGAATGGGGCAAATTCTAAAAAGCAACACAAAAGGCCTGATAGAAATCGAGAGATTGGTTGAACTTTTTCAAACCTAAGTGAAAATTAGCCTGTGGTACTACACTGCACATGATGTCTTTCCTGGCAATTCTGTGTTTGTGCTATAGTAACTGCTCCGAAACGGAGATTTGGTGAGATATATTACTATCATTATTATCATTATTATTAAGAAAATAGAAATGCAGGCGTTTTTGCTGCCATAAATTGAAAGTGGATTTAGCATTCCGAATGTTTAACTTTATCAAATCAAAATCAGGATCTTCAACATTCACTCTGTCCATAATATCTTAAGATTGATTATTTCATAGAACCTACTTTTCCCTGGTTGCTTGGTGGTGGAATGGATACTTTCAATGTCTCTTTATCTGCATTCTTTATCTCTAATTTAATGGGGGAGTCGAAGACCTCAACAAAATTGGCTTGGCTTTTTCCATCATAAGGCTCTTTAGCAAAGCCAAGTTCATAAGGTTCTGTACCTGCAAAACATATAAAATATTTTAATTATTTGAAATCATGTTAAAAACACCAGCACTAAAGATCTACATTCATCTGTTTCAGCCTAAGAATAGAAATTCATTCACAGGAATACAAAATAACTCAATAAATTGATAACTAGCAACCAAACTTATCAAAGGTATAACAGAAATATAATAAAATTGACTGAAATAAGATGTTTTCTTTTGGGAAGACATTATTGAGACTACATACCATTTGAAACAATTCTGTTGAGCTTTTTTTTAAATTCATGAATCTCACTCTGATCACTGGATGTGCTCGACTAAAAATAAAACAAAGAAAATTTAAGATGAACTCAGAGATACCTACTTTTGTGCTTGGGTGGCTAAAACTGATAAACTTTCTCACTGATATTAATATCAGTGATATTAATACCAAAAATTGTTGATCAAAGCATTTAGTCCATTCTCTAATTAGAGAATAGAGAATACAAACCAGTATTTCAAAAGACAGGAAATATAAGTAAAAAACAGTGACAATCAATGGGTCAATGATATAATCCTAAAAAAACAGCTGAAATGTGCTACTTTCCACAAACTACAAAGCCAATACTGATTATCCTTGTTTTCCAACATTCAAACATTAACTCACCATGTTGTGTTTTCTAATTTTCTGATTTTACCATGTTGCGTTTAAGAATCTGTTTTAAAAGTTTTTGTATAAAGTTTAGCAAGTCCCATAAAGGTCTCAAATATTTGTCACTCATGATCACTTCAGCACTCGTGCAAACCCAACCATATGAGCATCAAATCATTCACGCAAAAGGGTAAATTGTAAGAACTAAATGTCTCATGAATAAACACGTGAATAAAAGTTTGTAAACAAAGCATTTTTATGTTGGGTATTTAATTTTTCCTTTGATATTTCCAAAACAAAAGGGTACCTTAAAAGAGGATCATATGGTCTTTTCATAAATATTATGGACGCTTTTAGCATTGGTCATTATTATTATTATTTTAAGAGCAATTGCTCGCACAAGAGAAATCACTCAAATGCATGGGCTATTTCTTATGAAAAGGCCTGCCTAGATCAAGGACTAAAATAGTAAAAAATTTATTTACTTTGCACAGGCCATAGAAAAAGCCCTGGCAGGCCATATCTTGACACCCCTGTTGTAAATGTTGAGCACAAGGTGACTATAGATACTAAGACAATGCAAATGACTGAGATAAAATGAAGAACATGATGTGGGTTGATTATGGTCACTACAAATGATCCCTGTTATATGATGTGGTCTTTTTGGTTTTTAAAAGCTTGAAAATCTTTTGAATTTATTGAAAACTTATTGAGCACATACAATGCTTTAGCAAAATGAAGTAAGAATTTTTGTTAATTTTTGTAAATGTTTTTTGCAATATTTTATGTGCTTGCAGTAAAGGTTCATGAATAATGTGAGTTATTTTTGCTTTTATCATTCATATCAGCTTTATCTTATTAATTCCCTATTACAATTTGCTTGTCTTATATTTGTTTTCCTTGTAGCAAAAACCTCACACATATTATACATATTGTGTGTATTTGAATCTTACTCTTCACCAAACATATAAAGGTTTGACGGAACAAGCCTCTTCTCCTGATAGGTTGCCTGCCCCCTGGTTGGAAAATATGTATATGACTCTTTGGCTACACCTAGCTGCAAGCAGCAGCACATTATCAGCTGTTAGCTGATGAATGACCAAAGTAAAATATCAATGATTTGATGGATATTTTGGGCCAGGTGTGAGCACCAGAAATCCAGCATATCCAGGTTGGAAAACATACATGTATGATTTTGCTGATGCGTCAATGCAACCAACGGCACATTATCAGCTGTGACGCGTGAGTGGAATCATTTGAGTTGCAAGCAACAATGCCCATTATATACATAACTATAGTATAATATATGAATACATTCATATTTTGGATCACTAGAAGCTTGAAGTGTGAGCACAAGAAGTCCAGCTTCACTGCGAGCGTATGCAAGCTTTCCAGCTTGAGAGCATATGCAAGTTTTCCAACATGGGAGCATATACCAGTTTTGCAGCATGGCCCACAGCTAAACAAACAGTGATGAGGCCCCATTTTATAAGTTAGATAAAGGAATGTAAATGCATGAGCACATACAACAGCTTTACCTCATCATCGCTTGAAATTATTATCACATCCGGTATTTCTGTCTTCATCTTATATAATGACTGGTTCACTTTTCGAGTTGACAAGGAATGGTCCAAAGTCAACCCATTACAATCAACATCAGTTGCACAAAACTTTCTGTGCGATCCAAGATCTTCATCTTCGTCAAAAATATCTTCTCCATCACTTTGCGTCTCACTATCTTCGTCATTGTTGTTTTCAAAATCTTCATCATCATCGTTGTTGATAGCATCCTCAACATCACCATCATTTTCATGATCAGAATCAGACAGTTTGCTAGTAGCCATATAATCCCTTAAAATAACATTGGCTGCCAGTTTCTCAAACAGATTGCCCATCATATCAAGGGATGCCTCTTCTTTCTTCGTCAACTGGTGGATGGGAAATTCTTCATTCGGCAAAGTGTTATTTTCTTCGCACTCCATCCCTCATCATATCGCTTGCTGTAACTTTAGCCTGTCCATAAGTGTGCATAAAAGAAAACATAAGCACCACTATGACGAGTTAAATTGTTCTCAATACCAAAACGGTTTTCAACTGAACTGTTCGACGGTTGGAGTGCGGAGACCTTTGCTAATCATTTCAATTTGCATCTATGGTAGTACTCCAGTAGGCCGTTGTAGGAGGCACCGTTGCGCGGGATTTTGGTGTTACAGTTTAGTTGGATTGGATTTCCCCGCCAGCCTCGTTTTCTCACTGCGTTATACCCACTGATCTCAAAAAAGACCGTTTTACCCACTGATTTAAATTAAGAACAAACTGAGACTGAGCTACTGTAAAATACAACTTTAAACAACGTTTCATCTACAAAACAAAGATTTTTAGCCATGTGTGGGTGCTTTTTTGGTGAATATTCAAACTTGTTGTTTAATGAAGGTTGTCTCACGGTCAGCCTGAACTTAAATGTACTGGTTCTCGTATAAAAAAGAGTGTAAACGTTCTGGAAAATACCAAATTAAGCCAAATTCTAGCCCTAAGCCACAACATCTTTTCAAGGCCAAACGAGTCCTGAAAAAGCCAAATTTCTGAATTTTGGCTTGGAAAAGCCAAGTTGCCTACCTGTAATAGTGCTAGTTTGGATTTCGTTTGTCTTGCAACTTGTAACCTTAGTTATTTAACACCTTTTGCACATTCGATTGTTTATAATTCCTTTCGTTATCTAATTGTACTTTATCTAAATTGGGATACAAAATTCAAGTCCATTACCTAAGAGAAATGTTCCAGTATCAGAGAGAGAATAATACGAGAAATTGAAAATAGGTTTTTGGTATCGCTCAACAACGTTGGTATCGCTCAACAAACTTGGTATCGCTCAACAAGTTTTGGACCCTGTTCTTCAAAAATATTCAAAACATTGCATCAAGGATTCTTTTACGTTCGCTTAGTTCATGCAAAACTTGAACATCGAAAACGAAACATTATTCATGTGTTCTTTCGACATTAGTAGAGTCACCCCTTATGGAACGATTCGATTTTTTCATGAATTCTGACTGTGCAATGATAAAAATAAATATGAAGGAGTTTAGGTTTGTTTATCTTCAAAAAACGCGCGAAATTATTTTGCTGACGACATTACTTGAACTCTTTGCTAATTATCGTTGTTTCATTTGTTCTTAAAAGCTAGAAGAATATACCAAAAGTAAGCGGAATGTAAACGAAAAAGTTGTTATTAGACCTTCGACCCTTCTTTTTTTCCTGCACCTCAACTTTCTTGGTCATTCCCTCGGTCGGTTTTTTAGCTAAAACAAAACCAGCCCCCACAACGTGTTTCTTCATCTCCCTAAAACGAATATTCGTTGAAACCCAAACAATAGCTTGCACAATTTTCATTCACCGGGATTTTTTATCAGGAGCACTTTCATTGGCCTAGTGGCTTCTTCGATGGAACGGCGGGCTTCCTGTTGTGATTCTCAACAATTCATGAGTGGCTGAACGTGTGACACATGATAAAGTCTCATTCAAGTAAGAAAACCAAACTGGGGGATATCTCTTTTTCTTTACTCTGAATTTGAAAACAAATGGCTCAACGAAAGTCTGATTTGATACTGACGAATGATAAAAGCCGAGAACCCACTCCGGAAAATGATCCGCGGATCGGATCAGATTTTCTGTTGCGCAAGCGCTTTGGGTGCAAATATGGTCACATGACTGATCCGCCACGGATCGAAACGGATCGAAAAAAAAGTTGAAATCATTTTCTTTTGATCAAAATCAAATTGGAACTTTTTAAACAATAGAGCACTGGGCACTTGCGTCATGAAGCACGAATCGCACGAATCCCTTCAAGATAATGTCAACGTGCATTCGAATCCGAAACGATTCGCGGATCGAAAGAACAACGCGATCTGATCCGATCCGCGGATCATTTTCCGGAATGAGTTCTCGGCTAAAGGTAGAAGGAAAAAAGGCAGATAATAATTCCCGGTTTATCTACATTGTGCGCTTCTCTGCATGCCTAAATTTGAGTCGTTCCAAAAGGGGCGATGGCCTAAGTTTTTCACCAAGAAAAGTAGCCTGTAGTAATGTTGCTCGTGCAGAAAGAGAGAAAAGCCGATAAGACTGTCTTTACACAAGCATGTAGATTATACAGCAAAGAATGTGCTTGTAGTACGTTTATTTTATTAGGAAGTACAGAAAAGCTGAGGAAACAATTTTTACTGAAATCGTTCCATAAGGGGCGACGTGACTCTAATTTGGGATACAAAATTCAAGTCCGATACCTAAGACAAATGTTTCAGTATCAGAGAGAGAATAATCCGAGAAATTGAAAATAGGTTTTTGGTATCGGGTTTTTGGACCCTGTTCTTAAAAAAAATCAAAACATTGCATCAAGGATTCTTTTACGTTCGCTGAGTTCATGCAAAACTTGAACATCGAAAACGAAACATTATTCATGTGTTCTTTCGACATTAACAGTCTTTTCACAAATGTCCCTTTGAGTGAGACCATCAAAATATGTGCCGACGCTTTGTACCGGAGCGAGCTTAATAGCCCACCATTCCCAGTGGAAGTATTCATTGAACTGATGGAAACTGCAACACGTTCAGTTGAATTAAGCTTTAACAATGAAATGTACCAACAAAAGGTGTTGTCGCTATGGGTAGCCCTCTGGGACCTGCCTTGGCAAATATCTTTGTCGGCTTTCATGAAGAGCGTTTGTTTGACTGCGACCAAAAGCCAGGTGTTTATTTTCGGTATGTGGACGACACATATACCATTTTCAAAACAGAGGCTGAGTGTGATACTTTCCTAAAACGCCTTAATGGCCTTCACACAGCCCTGCAGTTTACATTTGAAAAGGAAGAAAATGATTCCTTGCCATTTTTAGATGTTTTGGTCGAAAAGTCTAACATTGGATTTCTTACCAGTGTATATCGCAAGCCCACTTTTACCGGTCAGTACATACGCTGGAATTTTTATAGGGGCGCCAAAGCTTGTATAGGGCACCGAAAACTCGAAAAAAGTTTGATACGACCGACTTGTCTTATTAGTAGGTCTCTAGGAGGTCAGTAGAGACAAAGAAGACGCCATTAAATTCAAAATCTCTATTGGGCCGCACGTCTCACTTCAAGGGCACGCCTTTCTGCCCCTTCAGTACTGTATTATCCAGACAAAACATTTGTACTGTTCCCAGGGGCGAAACAATTAATCAATTTTTTAAAGGACTGCCAGGAAACTAACAGTTAAATTCTTTTGTGTGGAGAACACAGCACCTAAAGTGCACACAGACTGTGTTTAGGGTGTCAGGGGACAGTCTATGTTTAGGTTGTCCGGACTCATGCCCCCCTTCCAGGGAAAATTTTGATTTTCGATGAGTCTCTTTGGCTCTTCTGGCCTTTATTAACAGACAATTTGGTTGTCTAACTGTTTCATTCTAGATTAGTCCACATGTACATGTTATATCTCAAGTCACTTCCACGAACGTACAGTTTTAAGTGCACAAAGATAACAAGAAATAACGCTAAAAAGTGCATTCAAAGCCAAAACATAATGAAACCAGCTCTTATTAGCTTTTATCATAAAGGATAAATTAAACAGACTTTTAACTCAAAACATTGACTTCATGTTTCTAACGCATAGATATTTCAGGCTTCTTTTTCAAGAGGCATACATTGATTTTGACAGGAAAGTTGGGTCGGACCTAATTTTCTTAACGGTTGCGTTTTGTTTGGCCTTTAATAATATTTCTTTAAAGTTCGATGGAATATTTACTTCATTTTGTATCAAATGACATGATGCATTCAAAGATATGTTAGAAACGCATTTTCTAGCCTTATGAGTAACTGGGATCCTCCACTTATTGGCTAGGACCGACTCTTTCCATTATTTGTTACCCCTACACTCCCTAGTTTGCCCCTTGACTGTTAGTTGAGTGGTATGCATGTTTTGAGCCTATTTAGCTGCCCCAAAGTACAAATTTGGCAAAACAAAGGTAAATATTTTATCTGGCGCTTTGGATTCCCCTCCAAGGTGCCAAATGAACACAACAGTTACAAAACCCTCATTCTACCACATCGTAGCGTCTCTTGAAAGTTCCCCAAACATGTTCTTGACACATTTTTATTTAGTTTATCTGCTTGGATTGACTTCTAAGAGACAGTCAATTTTGTACGTGAGTCTATCCAACTTGTCCTGACACCCCCATGAAAAAATATTTTATTTGTGTCCCTGTGCTCATGTGGGGGTCAGTAGATTTTGTCTCTTTGCTTCATTTCTCATGGAAGGACCAATTTGTCTCGTCGATACAACGATAGGGTGTATTATTTTCTCTATTACAAAGTAATGGAATCCATTTTAAGACTGGAATTAATAAAACATACTAAAAGCATGCCTTTAAAATAGCAGAATTTTTAAATGATTTCAAGAAAATGACTGCAAGAAATATTTTGAAATTTATTTTAAGCTTATCTAAAGGGCATTGTCGCAAAAATTGTCAGCTCGCTACGCTCGCAAGAAAGCCTCTATTCCAAGTTATGCCAAGGGCCTCCGACACCCTCTCGCCGACCCTTCCCAATGTTGGTTTTTTGGTCAAATAGATCGATTAACTCGAGCCCCATCCCCCACTTTGAATTTCTTGGCACCGCCCCTGGACTGCCGATATTGTCAGGAAAAAGACAATAGTGTTAGTTATGGAGGGCGCCATTTCGATGCTGGCCCCCCTAGGCGCTGGAATTAATTTTGCCCAAAACAACGCAAAGTCAACCTTGTCAAAACATTAGTACATAGGGCACTTATGATCTGCTCGAAATCTAAACTGCACGCTGAACTGGAAAAACTTAAAACGATCTTCCTGGACAACGGCTATCCTGAAGACGTCATTTTATCTTATACTAAGGAGAAGATCGCAAGTTTTTCGGCTGCTCAAAAGTTTGGTCCGCAAAAGTGCCCAGTTTATTTGAAACTACCATGGATTGGTAACACTTCCTTGCGATTCGAGAGTCAGATTAGGCAAGCCATAACCAAATGTTTCTTTGCTGTCTATCCTCGGATTGTTTACAGCACTAGGAGAGCCCTTCCATCCATTCAAAAGGATTGCGTTCCTACCAACCAAAAAGTTCCGTCATTTATGAATTTACGTGCCAGTGTGATTCTGGCTACCTAGGAGGCACAACCGAAAGATTGGGGGATAGGATAAAACAGCATGTTCCTTCCAACATAAGAAACAAAGAGAACTCAAAGAGAACAGCCTCCTCGATCTTGTAGGTCTATAAATACTGTTAA